GCCTGGGCGCCGCCGCTTCCCATCCCTCACGCCCCTTCCTTCGCGTCTGCCCTCCCTCCCGGCCACTTTTCCATTTCTTCCCACGATCGGCCTCAGCTGCTGCTCTTTGTCTCGCCCCTAGCCTCTCGGCTCGCACCACTTTTCTCCTGGAAACCTTTGCGGTCCCTCCTCGGGCCTTCCCTGATCCCATTCCTCCGTCCCAGTTCCAGCCGTTGGGACATCCCCTTTTTCCATCTCTCTCTCCATCACACTCATACTTTCGGATTCTTCCCGTAGGCTCCGCACAGTCCTATTCTCCTGCTCCTCCAATCTCGCCCTTGGACTCCTCCAGGCATCGCCTTTTCTGCTCACCTTTCATTCATCCAGCCAACGTGTGCGAACTGTCCTGCGCTCTGGGAACATAACAGTGAATCAACCTCGAAGCCAGCCTTTGAGGAACCCACAGCACTTGGGAGTGGGAGGGTGGATGTAAACAGATCTTTACAATGCTACTCCACTCTCCCTCTGAACCGACTGGCTGCGGAGCAAGAATTACAATACACAGACCGGGACGCTGCCAATTCAAAGGACAGAACAAGTTCATTCTCATAACGTCTCTCTCCTTCCTCCTTCCCCACGTTCTTTACCGACTCTAGCCTCCTCCGTTTTCTTTGCAACAGTCTTAATAAGAGGATGAAAAGTTGAAGCAAAAAGTCAAACTGGGAGGGAGAGAGGAAGAGGTGAGAAAAAGGGACCAAAAAAGTGGGGTGAAAAGGTATAAAGCCAAGGTCACCAAACTCCAGCAAAAACTGATGCTTTACCCAGAGTAGGATTCAATTTCCTCTGAAATCCGTGTGCATGATAAATGCATTACTTATTCCCTTGTCTGCAGATTGGCACTGTGGGAGCTGCTTCCTTATTATTATTAGGCCACCGAGGTACTATTTAGAACGATAATTTACTATCCAGCACCTGCCAAACACCCTGCTTGTCTTCAGGTACAAATAGGAGTAATAGGGACACAAAGAGTAAATGGATGCCTTAATATTCCTAAGGGACAGATGCTTTATTTGGTTCAACACTAGAAGCTGAAACTCCTTTCAGAGTCTAGGTCACCAGCCAGCCAGATGCTTGAAGGAGCTTAAAACAGTGAGCTCTCAAAAATATTTCAGACTTTTACTTTGGAATCCCTGTTTATTTTATTTTATTTTTTAAATTTGCATTGACTCAGACACTGGCTAAGCTTTGTGACCCTGGGGAAGTTATTTAACCTTTCTGCAGCTCAGCTTATTCATATATAAAGTAGGCATCTGCATACCTGCCTGTCTGTAGAGTTAAAAAAACAAAAATGAGATAATGTCAGTAAATCACCTAACACCACAGAACCCGAGAGCTAAACTCTTGGGAAAGCTGGTATTCAAGAAAGGTCTGGTCATATATGCCATAGACTGGCTTGAAGAGAATGAGAATCAAAACAATTATGGCTCTTTCAGCTCCATATCCACTCATGATGCAAAAGATGTCCTTCCCAGACTTATTCTATTTCATTTTGAACTCTTCAACTGAAAACATCTTTTTTTCTCCTGCTGCTCATTATCACATATATTATTTATCACAAAGGTTTTTCTTCCCAGAGCTCATAAGCTCACAACTTACTGTGCATTCAAAGCTAGAAATTGCTGCCAACAAATGTATTCTTTCAATTGCTCTCTTAAGATTTTTTTTTCTTCTCCTAGAGCTAATAATGAGCTGTGAGCAGCATTTAGTCAAACACAGAGAAAACATAGAAAAAAAATATTATTAAAGTAATTATTTCACTGTATGTCACCACATAGGCGACAGTCCTGTGAAAAACATAATATTGATTTTGTGCAAGGATTGATTTTTTGTTTTCAAAAAATGAGAGAAAGATAAATAAGAATTTTCCTCTCCCAAACCAGTTTCATAAGTCATCCCCTTTGGCGTCCCCACCGAAGATTAAGATAATGAGAGACTTTATCCTAGCAAATCTGAAATGCTGATTGAAGAATCTACATACAATGAGACTGAAAGATATAAAATATCTTAAATTCAGCAGTCCATGTTAAACTAGTGAAAGCAAAACTGAGAAGTATACTGTCTGTTCTGCATAGACTATTACTCCCCTACTCTTCACACACTGAATCCTTCTGAACCTTCACATCTCAGCTTAAATGGCTCCTCCTCCAAGAAGTCCTTCCTGACCAATCTAGAAGGGGTTCTCCAACATCTGCTCTCTCTCAAGCTCCAATATAAAATGTATCCCAATTTATTACATAGATTTTTCTATTTATTTATTTATAGTGTGCCTCCATTCACAGACACAGATTTCATGAGAGCAGACATTCTGTCTGTTTTATTCACCTCTATAGGACCAGAGCCTAACCTGATAAAACTTTTAAAATAAATTAATGAAAATAAATAAATAAATAAAGTATGTCTTCAGGGGCCTCTGGTTCTCAGATTTTGGGATATGTAAGTATCACTTGAAGGCTTCTTAGATACATCAAAAGCACAAGTGATTGAAGAGAAGTTTGGTATGTTGGATTTCATCAAAATTAAGAACTTCAGTCCTTCCTGGGACACCATCAAGGAAATGAAAAGACAAGTCACAGAATGAGATAACTTATTTGCAAATCATATATCTGATAAAGGACACATGAAGAACTTCCCCAACTCAATAATAAAAAGGTAAACAACCCATTTCTTAGATGGGCAAAGGCTCTGAGCATACGTGTCTCCAAAGAAGATCTATCAATGGCCAATAAACACATGAAAAGCTGCTGGACACCATTAGTCACTAGGGCAATGCATGTCAAAACAACCAGCTTCCACTGCACGCCCACTAAGATGGCTATAATGAGAAAGGCAGTAACAAGTGTTGGGGAAGACGTGGAGAAATCAGAACCTTTGTGCACTGCTGGTGGCAAAGTCAAATGACGCAACCACTATAGAAAACAGTTTGGCAAAATGTTGAACTTCAAGTTACCATATGACCCAGTAATTTCACTTCTAGGTATCTAACCAAGAGAAATAAATACACGCACCCACACAAAAACCTGCATATGAATGTTCATAGCAGCATTATTCATAATAGCCAAAAAGTGGAAGCAACGCGAATGTCCATCGATGGATGGATAGACAAAATGTGGTCTATCCACCCAGGGAACTATGATTCAGCCATTAAAAGGGATGAATTGCTGACAGGCTACAGTGTGGATGAACCTTGAAAGCATCATCTGCGCTGAATGAAAG